TTGAACATCGAATTCGCAGGTTCGATCCCTGCTGAAGTCTAGAAAAAGAAGTCTGATGAGGAGATGTGGTGATCTCCGAAATAGTGCTATAACTTCTACCGCTTAGACTTTGTTGCTTTTTCAATTTTTCCTAACAAACAATCGTGGTACAAAGCTCAATAAAAATATTAAAAATAAAATGTTAACAAGCCACAATAACATTAAGAAATTTAAATTTTAATTTGTTCGCCTTTAAAACTTGCATATGTATTATTTTTTCTTTTTTTTCTTCAAAAAAAAAACAAACAAATTGTTGCCATATGTATTTTTTTACCAAAGTTTCAAATTTTATACATGCTGCTTCATAGACCATTAAATTTTAGTATAATAGTGTACAAATTTGAAATGGCTATTTTATATAGAAGAAAGTTTATTTTCTTTTTCGATGATCATAAAATTGCCTTTTTATAATCAGGCAGTATTAAATTAGAGTTTTTCACTGTTTAATAAACAGTGAGCTATTTATTTGGAAATTATTATTTGTTTTTTTTTTCAAAAAGCTTACGTATTTGGTAGGTATGTATATGGTCATTAGTTTTAACTTCATAGTAAATATTTAATTCTGATTATCTCGGAATCGGAGTATTTTTCCAGGAGAGGGGATGACGTAGTGTTTTTGCCCGAACACAGCGAAAACGACGAGCTACCACAGCTGTCAAATTATTTTTCCACGTATGTAGATAATTATTTTGGCGACACGACGACTGTGATTGTGGCCAGATTATATCTTGCTATTTTTCCAGCGACAGATAAAGTTCTTCCTCTTCGTTTATGTCAAATTCATACAAATTCATAATGTCGCTGCAGCGTTCAAAAAAATCATGTCGCCATTGACAAAGCGATAACGAAGATAAATTGGAAGCTGTGGCCCGTAGCTCGTCGTTTTCAATATGTTTAGCACTTTAGGCTTAGAAAAGGAGTGAAACACTCCGATCGGAGTGAAAACGGCAACGCTGCCCATGAATATCATTCAAACACCTCCTATCGTAGACAAAGAGCTTCACGAAGAAATCTGCGAAACTTCTACACAAGAAAGATCTGGATATTGGGGCAGACTGAACTCGTACCTATCCAGACTCGACCACGACTTGTACCACATCAGTCACCTCTTCATTTGACCCGTCTAAAGCCTGATATACAGTTCAATGCGAGCGTGAGCGTGAGTTTTTTATTTTGACCAATATCTTCGTTATTACTCAACTTTTTGATATAGTTGAGACATAAAAAGATAGAGAATTAAAATATCTTTCAGAATTATAGAATAAAAACTAATTTAAAATGCATAATATGCCTTTTTTCGAATTCACACTCAACTGTGTGCGTACGGAATGCTTTCGCATGTGAACGGCAAGTTTTGACGGATGTGGCATTTTAAATTAGTTTTTATTCTATAATTCCGAAGTATATTTTAATTTTATATCTTTTCATGTCTCAACTATAGCAAAAAGTTGAGTAATAACGAAGATATTGGTAAAAATAAAAAACTCACGCTCACGCTCGCGTTGAACTGTACATCAGGCTTAACCCACTCTGCTGGCACTCCTCTCTCTTTGGTCATAACCTTTGGAATCAGCAGGTTTCATATGCCTACCCTTAGTTGAGCCGAAGAACGTAGATAATCTAGAAGAACGTAGATAATTTAGAATAATTTCGTTCTTTGGTTGATCATCAACGTATTTGCGACAAGAATGGTAGAATACAAGGTATAATATTTTCATGGAAAAATAGTTAATATATAAAGTATTATAAATGTGAAGATTTTTGTGGAAGTATTAGTGATTTTCAAAATCGGGGAATCCAAAGTACCGGTACGCGGAATGCCGAACCTTTGTTTGTTACATCGTGTATTTGCAACACAAATTTTAAGTGCCTCCAAAAATGCGACTCTGTGGTTGGTGGATTTAGAAATAAATTCACCATACTTGATACCTGTCAAACTGACAGTTATAAAAACAAAAGAATTCGTCATCTGTTGAAAATTTTAATTGTTTATATTTTTTTGTTCAGCGAAGAAATAAATTATACAGCTGAATAATGCAAGATAATTGTCCCGAACTATACGAAGAGGTAAAACTTTATCGCAATGCACGTGAACGTGAAAAGTATGATAACATGGCAGATTTGTACGCCATCATCAACACGCTCCAACAGCTTGAGAAGGCGTACATTCGTGACTGCATCACTCCTCAAGAGTATACCGCTGCCTGTTCCAAGTATTTGGTGCAATACAAGGTCGCATTCAAGCAGGTGCAATGTGACGAGTATCCCAATGTTGACACATTTGTAAAGAAATTCAGACTGGACTGTCCGGCAGCTCTCGAGCGGATACGGGAGGACAGGCCAATCACAATACGAGATGACAAGGGAAATACATCTAAATGCATTGCGGAAATCGTGTCGTTATTCATTACTATTATGGACAAACTGCGTCTGAAAATGAATACAATGGATGCTTTACAGCCAGACGTAAAAGATTTAGCAGATAACATGAATAGGTTGTCATTAATACCGAAAGATTTTGAAGCTAAGCAAAAAGTTGAGACTTGGTTAAGCACATTAAACGATATGCAGGCTTCAGACGAGTTATCAGAAGGACAAGTGCGTCAATTTCTTTTTGATCTGGAATCGTCATACGGAGACTTTACTAAACTGTTACACAGCCAGTAGTCAATCAGTCATTATGTGGAATGAAATTAAATATACATAAGCGTACATACCTAAGTTAATCTCGTAGATTTTAGTAAAAAAAAAAAAATATTTTGTGTTCGGAATTCTGTGTGAACGATCGATTGCTTATTTACTTTCGTTAAGCCGCTTATTATAATTCAAAAAATATATCTTACACAAACGATATGTAATAAATACTATAAATTTATTTAAATAAGGGATATTCTCAGAGCCTTGCAAAGGCATTGTACGGTAAAAACCGGTTTTCCTATGGGACAACTTTACAAACCGTGCACCGTTCAAGGACTCCCCTGCAAAAATCGTTGGACCATGTATTCTATTTGTGGTATATTGGAGTACTTACAAAAGTGTTCCTCTGTCATGCTGTAGCGGACCAACTCGTGTCTGCGCCAGCTTATTGTTTGTTATCCGATCACTGCTCGTGTTTTAACGAAATGTGATTGAAGTTGAGCATTTGAAAGCACATTTGCATGTCTGGCTGTAGCTGAACGTGTAGAGATGCTCGCTGTTAGTTCTTAGCTCCCAGCATGTTCGGGTTCGAATGCCGTCAGAGGCAACATGTAATTTTTAATTTTTTTCTTGGTTTTTACTAATTTCGAAAAAGCATTTGAGAAGTGAAGAACAAAAGCGTGTACAAACGAAAAAATATAACAACAATGCCATTGTTAATATGTTGGAGTAGTTTTGTGCTACTCTGATGTAATGCAGGGATGGAGTATATGGTCCTGCCCTAGGACATCGCAATGTTAATTGGACAATATTTTTTATATGAATTGTGGTTAATTTTGGAGTACTCCTTGGTCCTTAGGGAGTACTCTTTACACGCATGCATGGAGTAGTCGCGATTTTTGCAGGGTCTGCAAGACTGCCAAAAATACCCCTATACTTTTTATTGTTTACATATGAATTATATATACTTAAAATATGTTTCCGCCAAAATGATTCACTGATGAATACACTGATGAAGTGCCGAGGTTCATAAAGCAACCTCTTTACCCGACAGCTTGCTGACAGCACATTAACGGCATTCATAGGAAGTCGGGTTGACCTACACTCACTCGCGTCCTGTGACTACCGTTTTGGGAACACAACCAGCAGACGTGGACGAGACAGAGCTTCGTCTGCTTCGGGACACTCGGACCACAATAACCCAATAACTACTGCCTCAGGTAAAACTCGTACCTGAGCAGATTAGATGCAGATACGCCCAACGGGTGGCCGGCATGTGGAGAGACTCGAGACAGATCCTATAGAAGTCGCACGCTTCCTGGCTTTCCCCGTTAGTTGTGCTCGACGAGAACGATTGAGGGACTAGCCGATCTAGGCGGCGTTGTTGTAGCCGCTTCAACAACAGCCGCACTGATGAAAATTTGCAACACTGTTGCAACTACCCAACTGATATGCGTTGCCAGAAATTCCCACCGATCGTGATACTTCAATAATTCGTGCAATACTGCGGTTGTGATTGCATCTCGAACCAGCCCATTACACTAATGTTACGCTTTAGACTGTCATACTCACTTTTCGATCATGGAATCAAACACTCGTCAATCCATCTTTTACTGGCATCAACTTCACATTATTTCTTTTCTTTTGGCCCAGTAACACGACAATAAGATACTGACCTCACAAGGGACCTTCTGCCATTTCCGTGTAGGTTCCATTTCATGATGTTTTCATACGATGCTGTGTGCCGGCTTTGGCTGTAAACAATATTTTTTTTTAAATACTGATGGGAAAGAGCATAAAAGATTCCGCGAAACAATGAAACTAGAAGCACATACAACAAGAAAGTATTTTAACTACAAATTTTGAGTCCTCCAAAATTTTAATTATCGTTGCTTTATCTAATTTAAAGGAAACTCCTAACATCTCATGTTCTGAAATGAAGGACACAAAGCTCAATTTTAAATTTCGACTTCACCGCGCATGCGTATGAACTATGCGTTTGCTGTGTTTATTTTGGATTTAATCGTATTTTGTATTTAATTTAAATATTAAGGTTATTATAATTATACATATAGTTTAAACCGATTACAATATTTAAATTTTAATTTTTATTTATATATTTCTTCCTTTCAACTCTGTCGTGTATGTGTGTGTGTGTGTGGTCTTCTATCTTCATTTCTCCGCTACAGTTTTCTTTTTCTTATTAAACATTCTCTTTGCTTCGTAATAGCATTATATAATATTTATTTTAATTAGCTTTGTAATTTCTTTAGTGTAAGTTTTACGGTTGTATGAATGTGGGTGGTGGTATATGGGTGTGGTTTTTATGGGTTTAAATATGTTTTTTTTTTTTTTTTTATCTTAAATGAGTGCATTTATTTAGGAAATACATGGATCTTCTTAAAAGGGATTACCGCAGGACCGACGGGAAAGAACATACAAAATTTTAATTCGTCGCTTTTTCGCCCGTATCTATTCTATTCTATTTTTTTATACTAATGTACCATACATAAGCATCAATACATTCGTATAAAGGAAAACTATAGGACCGGCAGACAGACAATGTGAAAAGTAAAAGAAGTACGTATGTGTATGTGTGTGTGGTTATGGTTGTGTGCACGCAATTGCTTCGCAGCTGGAACCGATTTATAGAGCTGATTGGATTACGTTGTTACTAAATCGGAATCGAGTTTCTTATTAACATATACATATAATATTTATATATATGTGTATGCATTAATGTGTTTGTAGCAACGCCTTTCTTTTCACATTCAATTCTGTCCAGTCCAATAAGAGGGTGAGTAGCCTTGTTTAGCGGCCGATTTCGATTGGCTACTTGTCTGTTGGCGCTGGCCCGTGCTATTCGAATCCTATAAGAACCAAAAATATGTTTTTTTATTATTTACATTTGATATAATTAATAACACTTAGTATTTATGTATATGGAAAATTTTAATATTATTAAGAAGTGCATATACAAAAATGTCTTTAAAATGGCAAATGTTTATATAGATATACATACAAATACGGATGTATCAAGTAAGTATGTGCAAGGTATGCGTTCTTAGCTGTTTTTTGCTTATTGCTTTTATCTAAAAACATTTGATTTCAGTAAAGAATTGCCTACAGTATGTTTCTATGAGCCCCAACTCGCGCAATTTGAGTACTATTTTGAATTTCAACTGAAATTGCGAGACGTTTGGCAATAGAAAAAAATTTATGAGTCTTAATTTAGAAAATTTTGATTTTCAACCCTTCGGTTATATTAAGGTAATTTCGAGGCCTTTTTGTCAATATTTTCTAAACTGAAAAAAATTGCATAAAATAACTTTGCATAAAGGGCATAAATTGAAATTTTGAAAAAACCAATACAGTGCCGGACAAAAGTATTGGCACAGTGAATTTTTCGCAATATAAGCAAAGTTTTTTTATTTTAATTTATTTTCGATAAATTTTTATAAAAATATGGTTCATTGTACACCAAAAACACATATAAATAGTATATCTTAACTTTGAGCAAAACTCAGGAAAATTCAATAAACAACTTTCTATTAAGATCTTTTAGAAAAAACTCTAAGTATGCAGTTTTGTAGCCATTCAAAGTGAAAGTTTTGAGTTGCCAGAAAATCGCGTTGAATCTTTGAAATTTTTTTCACGCAGGTTTTTCCATACAAAGTATGTTCGACAATAATTTTTTGTATGGAGAAAATGAGCAATACCTTACTAACTTAAAAAATTTACAAACAACGTGATTTTCTAGCAACTCCAACTTGCCCTTTGTTAGAATAAAATATAATGGGCTAAACAACTGCATACTTAGAATTTTTATTTAAAAAAATCTGATTTGAAATATGCAAATTAGTACGCCATTATTTATTGAATTTGCACACAGTTTAAGAATTTTTTTTTTGTGTTTTGTTGTATGTAGTAAGACTAGATTTTAATAAAAAATTGGCAAAAAGCAATAATAATAAAAAACTTTGCATCATTGCGAAAATTTTTCGGTGCCAATACTTTTGTCCGGCACTGTATGTGTCTATTTTAAGAGAAATAATTTGAAAATCTACGTGAGTTTGATATTTTTATGATTGTACCAGCATGCTGGTGTAGTGTATGGTGAAAGTAGTTCATTTTTTTCCAAGTCGTCAACCACTAAACATTTTGCGTAACGATGAATTCTATAAAGAAAGTATTTTGGCGAAAATTCCTTGCACTATATGAGTCAAAGGCTTGTTTTTCGAAGATTAAAAATTCATAATATTACAAATGTGAATTAAAAAAACAATGTTAAAACAAAATGGTAAGAAAATTAACAAACTATGGCTCTATTTATTTCTATCTTTTCCGCACTTCCTTGTCAAGAAATAAATATTGTGCCAACCTGCTGGTGTATTATATGCTTCGAGCTAAATGGTCGGTACCAAGTAGGTACAATCGCGGCATTCGATATCGAACGTTACTCGAAGCGAAATTTGATTTTAACATCGCTACAGTCGATAGCGAGTGTGCTTCGCCCATTTAAATTGTATTGTGGTGAAAATAGCTGCCATTTTGTTTGATTTGATTTGAAACGAGTAATCACTCGTATACGAATAAAGAAGGGCAAAACAAGTAAGAAAGTCTAAGTTCGGGCGGAGCCGAACATTAAATACCCGGCGCAAGTATTAAATATATGTTTTTTCACCTTTCCGAAACCCTCCGCTAGATGGTAAGCCGGGGTGTATCAATTTTGAGTAAATTAGCGTCCTTCAATTTCGAAATATTGAAGTTTCAAGCATTTCTGAAATTTACCGTTATATGAAAAGCGGCCGTTATTTTAGTCCGATTTCAATAATTTTCAACGTTTTGCTTATATGTGGCAAGCACAATAACCACACCGAGTTTGGTACAAATTGGTAGAACGGTTACCGATATACTTATATGTGATCATAAGTGGGCGGTGCCACGCCCATTTTCCAAAATTTTACCATAAACGTATTTCTTGGTAAAGAATTGTTGGAAGCATCAATTTTGAATAAATTAGCTTCAATATTTACTGATTTATCGAAGATTATGTATTTCTCTAAATTACCGTTATATGGGAGGTGGGCGTGGTTATTGAGCGATTTTAAAAATTTTCGGCCATTTGGTATGTTGTACCAGGGCCAACAACTGTGCCAAGTTTGGAAGAAATTGGTGCAGCGGTTACCAAGATATACACATGTAACCATAAGTGGGCGTGGCTACGCCCATTTTCCAAAAGTTTATAATATTCTTATTTGTCGTCTGAAAATTATTGTAAATACCAATTTTGAGTGAATTATCTTCAGTAGCTACTAAAATATCGCAGTTTCCGTATTTCTGAAAATTACCGTTATATGGGAAGTGGGCGTGGTTACAGTCCGATTTCGCCCATTTTCAATACCAACCTACCTTGGATTAACAGAAACCTACATACCAAATTTCGTTGAGATATCTCAATTTTTGCTCGACAGACGGACAGACGGACGGACAGACAGACATGGCTTAATCAATTTCTTTTTTCATCCTGATCATTTATGTATACATTTGTCTATATCTATCTCGATTCGTTTTGGCTGTTACAAACAACCGTTATGTGAACAAAATTAATATACCCTTGTGCACAAGTGCGCTCGGGTATAAAAATGGAGTCATCTCATGGCAATGGAGTAAGTTATCTTTAATTTATAACATATTTAACTTATTAAAGATCTTTTTTAATTCAGTGCAAAACTAAGCGTGTCCGGGGAAAACCAAACCATGTGTGGACAGTGTCGGAAGAGAAGTCCCTAATTGATTTTCTTTTAGAAAACCGCCTATTTGAGGTTGTAACACATTCAGATCCCAATTGTTTGATTTCGGAACTCCTAGATGGACACTTCGGCGATTTGCCAACAACACAAGCATATTCAACCTAAAAGTTTCATCGATCTCTTCCTCCTCATCTTCATCGCCTAACAAAAATGCACCAAATAAATTTAAAAAACTCATAAATGACTTATTTGACGACTCACTTCCTTCCATCGTTGCGTCCTGCGCGTACTTCTCGCAAATCGCAGCCATTAATTAGCTTTTCTCGCTTCTTCTGGGCATTAGAAACTTTCTAAAGCTGTTTTAATAATTTTGATTTTGTCTTATATAATTGTTAAAATATTGTACAATAGCACACGAAAAAGTATGGGATGCTCACAAGTTTCATTTTACAACTGTTCTAAAAAAATAGTACAAAAGAGCAAATATGACAAATAGCACGACTTGTGAACTCCCTAAGTATGTTCAGTTATACTTGATAGGATAAAGTTATACAGCTATAAGTGGACGCTACCACGCCCATTTTCTAAAATTCCATAATAATCTTATTTTAAGAGATTATTATGAGTATTATTTGAGGGCGATTAATTGAGTAAATTAGCGCCCTTAAATTTTGAGTTATCGAAATTTCAATCATTTCTGTAATTTACCGTTACATGAAAAGTAGGCGTAATTTTAGTCCGATTTCAATAATTTTCAATGTTTTGTGGCAAGCACAATAACCGTACCGAGTTACAAATTGGTAGAACGGTTACCGAGATAAATATATGTGATCATAAGTGGGCGGTGCCACGCCCATTTTCCAAAATTTTATCATAAACGTATTTCTTGGTAAAGAATTGCTGCAAGCATCGATTTTGAATAAATTAGCTTTAATATTTACTGATTTATCGAGGATTTCGTATTTCTCGAAATTACCGTTATATGGGATGTGGGCGTGGTTATTGTCCGATTTTAAAAATTTTCGGCCATTTGGTATGCTGTACAAGGGCCAACAACTGTGCCAAGTTTGGAAGAAATTGGTGTAGCGGTTACCAAGATATACACATGTAACCATAAGTAGGCGTGGCTACGCCCATTTGCCAAAATTTTTTAATATTCTTATTTTTCGTCTAAAACTCATTGTAAATATAAATTTTGAGTGAATTATCTTTAGTAGTTACTAAAATATCGCAGTTTTCGTATTTCTGAAAATTACCGTTATATGGGAGGTAGGCGTGGTTATTGTCCTATTTTGCCCATTTTCAATACCGTCCGTCCTACGCCTGAAAGAAGTGCACGTACCAAGTTTCGTTAAGATATCTCAATTTTTACTCGAGTTATCGTGTGCACAGACGGACAGACGGACGGACGGACGGACGGACAGACAGTCACCGCTTAATCGATTTCTTTTTTCATTCTGATCATTTATGTATACATTTGTCTATATCTATCTCGATTCGTTTTGCCTGTTACAAACAACCGTTATGTGAACAAAGTTATAATACCCTTGTGCACAAGTGCGCTCGGGTATAATAAAACAAAAAATGCTTTACATACTTCAAACATACATAATATCGCTACCTAAAGGGGAAAAGGTGCCAGATCCACATTTTTTCAAAATTTAGTTTTAACGCTGAATGACAGATAATGTGAAAGTACATCGATTTTTCGTCTCTCCTGAATAATTTCAAAAAATGGACTTGGCACCTTTTCACCTTTACCGGCCGTCTGTTACATGCTTGCAAATCTCACTTGCGGTCTGTTTTTTTCTCTCGCAAGCGAGATAAGAGTTTTGTCGACTGGACATTTGACAGCATACTTTTTCATTTATAAAATGTCTCCAAAAAAGAATGTACGAGCTTTGCAGGCTAAATTTGTATTTTCCACCAAAATAAACGATGTTGCTGCGCGCGTTCCCACGACAGTCGGGTCTACGTAACCGGAACGACCCAGATTTATATCTGGGCAAGGACTGTCACTCCAGCAACACTCCCCAAAAACCCTTTGGGGAACTTGTTTGCTGCTACAATAACAACAGCAACATGTTGCTTGCTATTCTGAAGAATTCTGCGAAATGAGGTATTTCACCTGTCAAACAACAAAAATGATATGCGGTATACGAGAAAAAGCATGCTTCGTACTTTTAGCGGTCTACACGTGCGTCACGTAGGCGAGATTTTGCAGCACGTGAAGACGGCCGGTTAGGTAATGATATGTTTTTAACATAACTTCTTTTCGTTGGAAATAATGACTAAATTTAATTTTAACGCACTCTCAGGACTTCTTATGTCACAGAGGAGTTAAGCAAGAAGAATTATTGGAAAAATAGATCAAACTAAAATAATCTAAAGAAAATTTCGTTAAAAGCAAGATGAAACAGATTTTAGAAAATCAGTTCAACTTTTATTTCGAACTTGCCAAAAAATTAGCGGATAACAAAATCATAAGCTGTACGGTGACAGAATTAGTTATTGAATATTATAAATGTGAAAGTTTGTGAGTGAGTATGTTTGTTGCTCCTTCACGCTTAAACGTCTAAATATATTTCAATTAAATTCTGGAATACAGATAGTTTATATCCTGGCTTAACAAAAAAATTTTTTTTTGAAGAGTGTTGGCACTTCTTTCAAAGTTAAAATCGATTAAAAACAAGCTTAACAAAATATTACAGCAATGTGGGTGTCAAACGAAAGCGGTTCAGAAACTATATATTTCGGAAGTATTTTTTTAAGAGGGTTGCAACCTGTTAAAAAAGTAAGTCAATTAATTGATAACTATTAAAAAGTTTAAACGAAATATTTTAATGTGGGTATCAAACGAAATAGGCAAAATGCTTTATTGTAGAAATATTTTTAGAGGGTTGCCATTTTTTTCATAAAGTTAAAATCAATTTGAATAACACGTTAAATAAAATATTATGTGTGTCAAACGAGTGAGCGTTAAGAAAGCTTTATTTCGAAAATATTTTTGAATAGGGTTGCTAGATTTTCAAAAACAAGTTAACCGTTCCTCCTTTTCAAAATCGAAATACTTATTCTGGAAAATGCGAATTGGAAAATCGCAGAGATGGTAGGAGTATTATTAAGAAAATTTTGGTCATTATTTGTGTATTCAGTATTTTGAATCAACATAATGGGCCATATGCATAAAAACTACGCAATTGCTTTTATTTAAATTTTCATACCTTTCACTTAAATTTATTTGAACAAATCGAGTAAAAAATTTGAAATTTTAAGCAAAAGCATTTGCTTAGGTTTTGTGCATACGGCCCAATATATAACATATTATGTAGCGAGAACATGGATAAATTTGTGAACCGAGATCTTTTCCCAAAAAATTACTGATTGTTGAGAGTTTACCTAAAGGCGAATTCAAACAAGGTGGTATTACCGGAGCAGCTGAATTCAAGGCGAATTGCCGCCGATTGTCAAAATTACGTGATTTTTGTATATTCTTTTGAGTTCTGATTGTCATCGTGCGTTTAATTTGCTATTGTAATTTTTTTGTTTTTATGCTGCCGCTATCACCGCGTATGAATTCGCCTTGGGTAGGTTTGTATGCAGAATTTTTCGGTGGTGGCGTCGCACAGTGTATGATTTTGGAAAAAGTACGAAAACGAAAAGAGATACCGAAACAAGTGTAACGGCATTTTCAATTCAACACTTTCAAGCTGTTGAGATGCAGAATTAAGGAAAAATAGACTCGTTGGATAAAGAGTTACCTTGACCTTCAAGTTTAGAGTACGATTTTGCACAAAAATGCACAAAATCAAATATCTCAAGAACGAGAAGAGATAGCGAAACAAATGTAACGATGTTTTTAAGCTTTTCAGATTCAGTACAAATAGGCTCAAATATAGTAGGAAATAAATGTAACGGTATTTTAAAGCTTTTGAGATGGATGAAACAGTTACTTGGACCTTCAAATATAATAGGTTTTCTATATTTTTTTCTTTCGTTTTTTTTTTTGGACCTGAATCCAGATGCAATGCACTTTTTAAGAGTTTTGAACACATATTTTTGCTGTTCTTGCGAAATATTTGGCGCATTTTTTTCTTTTGTGAAATCAGAATTCAAAGATATTTTTGGTAGACAACTTGCTACGTGAAAATGTTGAAGAAATTCTTGATACCCTCTGTTTGTTAAAACAAAAAGCACCATTTCTTGAAATTTTTTGGGCAAAAAATATGCGGTGTTTTTTCTTACTTTCAAAGACTATAAGATTTTTCGGGACTCTGTTATATGTATGTCTTGGCAATTTTCGGGTTTATTCGAGACTTTCGGAATTTTTCAGAAGTTTACACGCATATTTAAACCTTGGCTTTGGGGTTTTTAAATGCTCAAAAAATTTAACTAACGGGTGTTCTGCTCAAATAGTATTAAAAGGAAAATTTTGCTTTGAATAAATATAGAAAATTATGGATTTTTTTTCCTCTAATTAATAAATAGCGATGGCTTTCGAAAAACTCTTTACTTTGTTATTATAAAGTGGATACATACTTGATAGTAGTGTCTGTGATACAAGCGCCTAATAAATCACTTCTATACTAATTATAATTTATCACCCAAATTCATAAAAAATAATTCTTTATAAATCGAAAATTTGTACGAAAATGTCTCGCGATAGGTATATTTTAATTTTTTATGCATAAGGCCACAAGATTTTGCCTTATTTAAATCTGAAATTTTTAACACCTGAGAGGTTACGCGATATGATTTGTGTAAAATGAAAATTTTGCACAGATCCTTTAACTTTTTTGGTTATAAATAAATGCATTTTGAGTTCAAGTAATATGAAGGGAATTACTGAAATATAATGAATTTAAAAAAGGTGTATTCGTGACAACGATTATGCTGATAGGTAGGCATAGTTACATATGTATATATTGTATATGTTTGTTCGAACGCGTTAAATTGAAATAAAAAAAAATAACAAAAGTTGAAAGGGGAAAATATTATAAAGTTATATACTAAGTACATACTATGTAGTTTAACTGATATTCTAAAAACTTACCCGGCGGGATGAATTATGAATCCTGCCGTCCATCTAATGTTGTCCCATAAAAAACCAAAAGAAATAATAAAATAATAAAAAAGTTTTTTCCATGCATTTTTCATTTACATATGTACTGTACTTAATAGAAACAGTGAGCGTGAATATATTTTTGATTTTAGCTTTTGATTATTACTTATACGATTACGAACATATTTGAAATGTAGGTACTTATTGTGCTATAAAAATTGGCTGTTACTTCAATTGATTTAATATAACCTGAATGATGAAGGTTCATGGAAAAATTAGCACATTCAGAGTGTTTGAAAAATCAAGATGTATTAAGTTAAATTGAAAAGTTATTGGCATGCATTGTTCGCGTTAAAACGATATGATTTTGGTTTTTAAAATTATTAAGCGTTATTGTTATTGTTTCTTATTAATAGTAGTTTGTTAATAGGATAACCTATAAAATGTAGAATAGAACGACGACTCATAGCAACTGAAATTGTGTGTTTTCAATCTCTTTTCTCAGGTAGTAAGTATTCAGAAGACTTGAAAGCTCAAAAGAAACGTTATAGACAGTCACACCTCCCTTGTTATAAGGTTAATTGGTTAGAGACTACATAGATCAGCAATTTTCAGACTCCCAAAACAATTTTTTGCGATTGAAAGTACAATATTGGGTCCGCCATTTGGAATTTGCATTGTTTGAATAATTGGAATTGAAAAAATTAAGAAGATTTTAGAGATAAAATTTGTGCCAATATTCAGCGCAAAAAATTTTTTAGGAAATAGATGGTCCAGGTTTTGCGCCTGAAAACTGTTGGCCTTGTTATTGATAATTATAACAAATTATGGGGTTTTGGCGTTCGCGCACTCAAAAAACTTGCGAAATTGGGGTAATTGGAAGCGCCAAGTGACAATGAACTTGAAGGGGAAGCTGCTAGTTCTTGTTGAAAAAATTGCCAGCAAGAATAAAGAGCGCGTCAGGCGTGGCAATATTTCGTACTTTCCAACGCAATTGGCTGTTGCATTGACAAAGATAAATTTTATTTCCACGTGTGAACAGCCGGAATGATCTTTTTGTCACTTTCCGGAAATGAGTCTCAGAAATAAAATTTCCAAGTTATGGCTGCAACTGAAAGATCGTAAGCTGATTTACAAAATACATGTATGGGTGCATTCCAAAACGTCAAAATACAAAGTATCTGGCTCTTTTCTAAACCTCGGCAGATTGTAAATAATGTCAAATGTGCGCAACCACCGTTAGATACTAATTTTCAACTAGGTTGGGCAAGTTTTAGACTTTTTCTAGTTTCGCGCGGGAGTTGAATTTCTTGGCGTCCTCGTTTTGCGGAAATGACGGCTTCGCGATTAAGGTTGTTGATGCCCCCAAAGTATGCCTCGCGGCTCAGTGGTGAATGAAGCTGTTGGTCGATGTCTGCTTCTAGATGACCGAGGTGTCTTCTTACGTGTCTTGGTGATGCAGCTCTCTATGTCAGACTGCAGTTTGAGTGGATTGTTCTGTGACAGGCTAGCAGGAACTGTTTTGACAGCAGCATATGGTGTTTACACGGAGCATTGTAGTCTCGTCGTGTAGGTTTTTCTTCTAGTGCGGTTTAGAAATAAGAGACTGATGCTTTGTATTTTGACGCTTTGGATTGCTTCCTATTTCAACTTGCTCATGCTGCACTATCAATTTTTATTTGTGCTGCCAAACTATTCGAGTGTTGCTGTGTGACGACACTGATCGCGAATTAGTGGGAAATAATAAGCAAAATTTTGAATGAAATAGCGATAATGCTTGTAACCAATCATTTTTCGGAATTTAATTTTTAAGTTATTAACTGAAAATAAAGTTAATTATAACCAGGAGAAATAACAGTTGACCGGTAAAGCAGCTCACACTTTCATTTTACTATCGAGAAATATTTTGGATGTAAATAAAATTTCGATCAGCTGAACATTAAACTTGCATGTTTGTGCAAATGTTGAAAATGTTTGTGTTTGTGTTTGTTCGTTACTCTCCTCCAAGTTGTTGTTGATTAACTTTTATTAGAGATCTATTCGAACAGGCAAAATGTCCCCTATATTTCTGATGAATAGTCAAGATTCATAATCATTCAAAATATATGTGTATATTAGAATGGCCCAAAAAGAGTAATGTTGGAATTTCAATGCCGCCATCCCCTAGGATTGTTCAATACCAAAAAAAATATACCCCTACTTTTTTATTTTTAAATCAAAAAATATTTAGGGAGTGCTCAAACCCCGCAAACATATTCTGAGCGTTCAGAATATATGAGTCCGAAAGGTGTCCTAGGTAGGTAAGAAATATGAGTTTCAAAAACAAAATTTTTTTTTACTCTTATATGAATCTTTTAGGATTCATATATGAGCCAAATTATGAGCCAGCACCTTGTGCCAATATAAAAACAATAAAGATTTGAAATTTATATCTAAACTTGTTTATACAGAAATTGAAAATAATTAGAAAACAAAAAATGAACAAAATTTAGCTTCAGCTGCTGCTATTGAATGAATGTTGGAATGTGTATATGCATGTAAGTATGTATGTATGTTATTTGC